GTTTGCAGTGAAAACGTACCGATGAATTTCACTTTAAACAAAAACGTAAATCAAATAAAGTGAAATTAAGACTGCGAATCCTCATAAATTTGCCTTGCCAACTGAACATTTAAATCTCAGAATTTTATTCATTGTAGGACAAAAGTTGTTTAACAAACGATCATACATTCAAATCGCTATTATTGGTTTGTATTACAAGGGGATGAGCGCAGTAGACGGAACAGTGAAACAGATGCACGTGCGGTTCGTGATGAGCGTTAACTTAGACCAACTCTACTTGTTCTCGGTGTTTCATTTAATGTGCATATACCCTTGTAATACAAACCAATAATAGCGATTTGAAACTATGATCGTTTGTTGAACAACTTTTATCCTCAGTTCAATACAATTCTGAGATTTAAATGGTCAGTTGGCAAGGTAAAATCATGAGGATTAGCAATCTTAATTTCATCTTATTCGACTTACTTTTTTGTTTAAATTGACATTCATCGGTACGTTTTCAATGGAAACAGACTATAGTGGTTAAATTATTCGTTGTTTTCCTATTCAAGTGTTCCCTGTCGTGATCAGGCTGGAGTATTACCATCAGTGGTGTCGTACCATACTCACTTTACCTGTTGATTGTAGTTTAACGTCGCACACAGCAATATTCCAGCTACATAGAGAAGTCTGGGCAGTGTCTTTAATAATCGTGACTGGACAAGACAATCCAGTGATCAAACAGCATGAGCATCGATCGAAGCAATTGGCAACCATGTTTTCGATCGAGCCTTACCACTCGATCCCGTTAGTCGCCTCTCACAACAATCGTGAGTTTCTGAAGACCAATTCTTCACAGATTCATCGCCACTTTAAACGGTATTGAAGCGTAATGAGTGTGGAAGATTATACACATCTTCGACGGGGGATTGTATCATGTTCCATCTTTCATGAAATCCACTTGTACGGACGTGGTGCGGACAGACCAAGGATGATTATTCCAGCACGTTAGGATTCGAACCATAGAGACTATCCTGGCAGATAAGGGAGGCAATTTTAGCCAGTGAGTTGCGCATCGGACACTATTTTATGGGTACAATATCAGTCACTATGACCATGTTTCCTGTTAAAGGTCAGAGAAATAGCAACAATCCCGCGCCCTCGCTGTGCAAACAAACCTCAAATTACTCCATCTGAAGGATCAGAGAGCATATTTATGTATACGCAATTTAAGCGCCGTGACAGAGACTTATCACAATAGATGCCAGAGTACTCGTCTTAATTCAATTCCAGTTTTATTTTGAATGAAAGGCCCTTAAACAACGGATGTACATAACCCATGTATATAGGTACATAGTCAAGGTAACAACTCATTTCGTAACAACAAAAAAACGTGTGATGTATGTACAAATCTGGCTGGTGGTGTAACGGTGGGTCTTTGCAGGGTGGTAGTGAAGACAATGTAACAGTATAGACACATCAAGCAATGTAATTCTTGGCAGAAGTTATTTGTGTGTTAATTATTATAGTCGTTGTATTAGATACTGGTGCAGACTTATTCGAATGGATAGATCAATGTATCCCAGGGCTAGTTATGAAATGCTGAAACATTTTGATGAACAGGATAAAGTATGTTGGGTTTCTCGCATTCGAATATTATTGTTTGAAACTGGCTTTTCGTACGTATGGTTCACTCAGTCTATTTTGGATGTTGAAAAGTATATTCTTGAATTCTTTCCCGAAAAAGACCTGGTATATTGTAAGTTTCGCTATGCATCTAATAAATTGAAAGTTCAGTTAGATAGATTTAAATGTTATGATAACCAAAATGCCTTAATATGTGCCAAATGCCTCCTGGGCTGTATTGAAGACGAATTTCACCTTTTATTTATTTGCCCTTACTATAAGATAAGCACACAACAGTTTATACCTGAATATTGTTATAAGAATCCGTCTGCTTCAAAAATGTATCAACTGCTAGCATCCACTGACACAAAACTTATCAAATCTTTGTCGTTGTATTTGAAAAGAAACTTGCCAATTTGATATTATTTGTGAATGAATGATATACCGGTAGGTGCACTGGGTGCAGCTATTATGTATTAGTAATATGGGTCACGTGGCCCCAAATACTAATAAACTTGTCACTTGTTACAGTATAGAAATGAAATATAAGCCACAGAAGTAAGTGTTCAGTATATCATGATGACGTAACATAATCAAAGTTGATCCAAACATGTGTACCAAAGGCTTCATTGTAGCATGTAAGACATTTGTGGAAACTTGTTGGCACACACAAATGTTGACAGCACAATCGGTAGAGCATCCAAGAATAGGGGTGTAGAAATCTCCGTTGATTTAATTTTCATATGTTGAACCTATTTTAACTTTAAATAATATCTGCACTTGGTGAGCACCCAAAGATTGCTTTTAATTTTTAAAAGACAATTTGATTTGAGACCTTAACAACCACACACACAAAAATAAAATACTCAACTTCTGTTTTATCCTTGAAATTCAACAAATTCGGGTTTTTGTCCTCTCACATTTACCACATTTCATACATGGTAGGGGCCATGTGGTTGAGTGAGTGAGTAAGTTTGTTTTTACGCCGCTTTTAGCAATATTCCAGCAATATCACGGCGGGGGACACCAGAAATGGGCTTAACACCCATGTGGTTGAGAATTCGTTCTTACTGAAGTCATCAAGATATATGGATACAAAATTACCCAGCTATAGATTACGTTTTACAAAATGTCGCAGGAATGGGATACGGTTAAGTAGACATGAAGAAATATAAGAACAGTTTTCAAGTTTCAGTTTCATAAAAAAAAATCCAAAAAAACCGGAATGTTTCCGTTTGCACCTGGGTTTATGTTCACGGGAGATAGGTCTTCAGCAACCCATGCTTGTCGTAAGAAGCGACTAACGGGTGGTCAAGCTCTTGACTTGTCATTGACTCTTTATTGCATAGACCGATGCTCATTGGATTGTCTGGTCCAGGTTCTATTATTTACAGACCGCCGCCATATAGCTGGAATATTGCGGAGTGCGGCGTTAAACAACAAACAAAAGAAACAAACAGAATATTCACAAGGGTGTAAGAAGCAACGTCGTCATTAGGTTTACAAACAGGCGATCATAATCAATTTGATCAAAGTTAAAATAACATTCTTCTTGTTATTGAAAAATAATTATGACAAGCTTTGCATGATTATTAATTGCCATGCACGTTCACTTCACCTGGAATTACTTAATACGGAGCCCAGCCGCTCTGAGCTGGTGCGCCGCCAGCCCTACTTCCTGTTTCAAAGTCATGTTGCTAAGCGTCTCAATATGACTCAAATGCAACGCGATGCTGCACTCTTCATAAGGTCGCGCATCAAGCATTCATCATTATCTGACAGATTCAGTACATGTGTGGTTTGTCTCAAAATACTTCTGCGCTAATAAGTAAACACAGATGTCGAACGTCTTCACAATCAAAGGCGGCCGAATGAAACATGCGGTAAAAACGGATGCACAAATCTGCACGGAGTTGTACTTGTATAACGTTTCAAGGTGGGTAAACATGACGTGTTCAGGCAGTGCGTGGAGCTCATGATAAGCAGTGGTAATGGGAGCTGCCGGGACTGTTTAAGGCGGTAGGTTTTATATTGGGTGCTCAGCTGTCGGGGAAGTGTCGATGTTACACGTTGCAGGAACTGTAATCCTCCGTTTGATGGAGATACGAATCGATATAGGTGCTTAATTGCGACAGTATTTTGTGACTGAGTTCTTGCATAACCTGATGATTTTCTAATTGGTTGTTCCGAGTCAAATTTGTCCACGTTTGAACTGGCGAAACTACTCGTGCGTAGTGGTAGAATAACTTGTGTTCCTCCTGAAAAATACGTGATCTGAGAACAATGTGATTAACTTCAGACATGGTTTTGGTAATTGCATTGGTTGTGGGTATGTTGCGACATGTTTTAGAAATACATGTAGTTCTGTTCTTGTCGTGAGGGTGAGATCATTATGATTTGTTTCAATCATTTGAGCGAGCAGTGGTACTGCATATTTTGAAACCTGCTATTTCAGACCCAACCCTTCCCATGACCACTGTTGCTTTAAAAGCACACAAATAAACAAACCCAAACAGCATTATGTACAAGCAAAAAACGAAATATGAAAAAATTCTTTAATCGTAAGAAATGCGATGTCCGTTATACATTTACAGCTATATCACAAGAATACGTTCACAAATTACCGTTTCGCTATGTCTGTTAATACTCGGATCCGTACCACGATAAACCAATGGTTGACATAATGAACAACGATCTTCATATCGCACGATACCACATTGTTTGCATTATGACATTCTGACCATTCGGTCATAAAATAAGTTAATAACAGCTCCTACGAGTGACCGATATTTCCATGGAATCGCAATTGGGCTCATCATTGATGATTTATCATACAATACCATCAGACTGTTCTGACACTTTCATCAATTGTTATATGAGAATGTGTCATTTTACCATCAATAGATTTCTGAAGAATCTATTGTCTCCGTTAACAGAACCGATAACTATAAAAACCATTGCATTGAATAGATTGATTTTCACAACCAATTGAGACAATTGAGATAACACACGCGCCCCTGCAGAAATCAATATGTCTTTGTCACCTGATGTGTTTATAAATATACATCTAACCGATGATAACTACACAGTATCTTGAGAAGACAGAAAAACGATCCATTCTCTAAACATCCAAACCACTTCTTCAAGCAGTCAGGACAGAAACTAATGACAGCGTGTAGCTCTTGCAATCAATACCTTATATAGCATTAAGCGCAGCCAGTTTGTATAAGCATTCCTCAAAATTATATCTTGTCACTTGTTCATTCGATTAATACAACGCTAGAGAATTTCCTCAGGTAACCGTGACCAAGCGGACTGGGCAAACGGTTGATAAATCGTTCGCTGACACCACTATTGGTCAATGACGATGAGATGCATATTGTATACGATTGTTCTAAATGGCCAATGCAGTGCTGGCTCTGCGTGTGAAGGTGGAAACAACAGCTAGGTTTCAAGCAGAGACACGCGAGGCTTTTACGGCGTAGTTCTCTGCGGCGAGGTAGGGACGTGGTGTGTTTGTCAGTAACAGGTCTCTGTGTACTCGAGGGGTTGCTTGGAGTGTTCAAATTTACCCTTCTGTGTTCAGCGAAGTGTCTCGCGGTGCAGGACAGTTGCAAGCCAGCAGTTGTTGGATACTGGCCGCGTAATGAGCTCTGGTTGTGGAGTAACAGGTAATGTAAGTCTTTCCATAATATTTGTCTGGTTGTAGTGTTTCTGTCTCATGTTGTTGACAGAGGTGTTGTTTGTAGGGTGTACAAGGGAACGGTATACGTTCTGCTGTAACGAGCTTGGTGATGTGTTTCTAAATCAGCTGACGCGGTTAAGATAAGTTGATGCAATATTTCTAAAACTTTTCATAGTTCATAAAATGTCTTAAATAGTCACTAAATTGTCTGGTCCAGACTCGATTGCTTGCAGTCCACGCCTATAGCTGGTATACTGGTGAAACAAATACATTCTCGTGATATAGTCTGAATTGTACAATCAACTTTGCCTTTAGCAGAAGTGTCTTATAGATATGGAAAGGATTTTGTCGCTTCTATTGATATAGAGAGCATTCTAAACATGTTTATTTATGTATTCATGAATATGAATATATAAAGTCCTGATCAATTTGTTTACTCTTCCGAAATACGTTTTATGAAGATTCACCGCGCTGAAACTTACAATTACTCAAAAAGACGAAAATTAATCTCTAATTGTTTAGCATGTATCATTCAATCAATTTCTCCACAGACAATCAGTGAGTGAGTGAGTGAGTTAAAATTTATCGTCACATCGGCAATATTTCAGCCATATCGTGACGAGAACAATTAATTTTATACATAGTAATTAATGGTAAACTGTAAAAACCTGTCAACGAAGAACAGTAAAATAACTAGATTATCACAGATTCGAATTTAAAACTAGTAATTAAATCTAAAACAGTTTAACTATAGATGACAATACAAGGTACCACAGACAATCAGAACAAAAAAATGCAGAGGTGTTGTAAAAATCAATGATAACAGTTTTTGTTATGAGTCTCTGTTTCTGATACACCTACATTTGACGAACTACAGTAAAGTACATTATACCTCTACTTTGTTTATGACGAAACCACTCTTCCCTGTGGGAAACAAGTCATTAAAACACTAAGGATGCTACTTCGTTTCCGCTCAATAGTAATCCGTATCGTCATTTTGAATTCTGCAATATTTGCAAAAATGGCTAGAATTAAGAGAGAGTATCGCAATCCTTGGGGGAAGCTGCTGTACAGCTACTGTTCCAATCGACACGTGTAACAAAAACACGCCAGGCGAGCTGTGTTCTTAGGCTGTAGTGTTTGAATACACCGTGAGGCGGCGATCCAGTGCAAATCAATGTTTAAATGTTCGTGGGAATTCTCACACAATGGGGTGTTGTAAATCTGCTATCATCTTGATTTAAACATGCACGGTATGTGGGTTTGATCTGGATCATCTTTTGTGTGAAATATGATATATAAAGTGTAGAGTCGTGTCATTGCTGAAGATTACATCTCAGTTCTTCATTGGCATGAACAAATTTCAAAAGCGTTCTACACGCATAGTGTGTTTGCAAACATCTATTTATTGATAGTTTGTGCTCTCCAGTGATTCGATGATTGATATACCAAAAGGTGTAAGCCTAATATGCATTATCCCATAAATTTCCCGGAAGAACCATTGAACTCACTACACATGTAAGATATGATGTCATGTCAAGATGAGTTTGAGTTACGTTTCTTAGCGTTCACAGGATCTGCTGAGGCGGTATGATGAGAATTGGGGTGTCCACAGAATACGGGGATTTTTATTCTATATAGTCAAGTGATTAAGTAAATGGGTTAAAAAGTCGCATCGGCATTATTCCAGCCAGAGTACGACCTGAATGTATCCACATCATATCTATATAATACTGAAGATAATTCGTCATAGCGCTTTGATCGCTTTCTGAAGCGGTATTCATACCATGCGTATTCTGTTCTCCCTCATTAAACTGACAGCCGTTATTACTGCGATGTTGTTGAAAGACTTGTTAAATAGAACCTGTTAACTTTCTCCAAGCAGAATGACAAAAAACACAAGCAACATTATACTTTCACGTCTCTCCTTGTCACTAGCCTGTAAACAATAACAGTCGAGGTCGATATTTAACTGCGCTCAGTTCTTTCTTGCACATGTATGGCAATATGTTCACATCTGGTATCTATACTTTGCTTTAAAATATATACACAGAATACAATGCATGTCATTTTTTACATAAATTAGCGTAGGGAGCGACGATTTATGTTACATCTGTTTTAAAGACAGAAACGCAAGCTACATCGCCGACTTGAGATAACACACATGGCCACAAGGCGTTTTTCTTAAACATACCTTTCCTCCCGAATTGTTAACACCATAAACAAACACATCTTGCATGTTTTAAAAACTGTCACGTAAATTCAGCTGAAGTAACCTTTTTGGACACGATGCGTTACCGCTGCTATCTCGCAAAGTATCCCCCAGGAAAATTAATCCCCTTTTCTCGAATGTTGTTCTAATGCTCTCGTGATTCTGGAGTTTCAAGAGTGGCCTCATGCTGTTATTTCTAAGACGATTACTGTGTTTCAAAGCTCGCTGGGTCGACTGACTTTGTTTCCTTCCAATTATCACATCAAAGCCAGGAGAAACTGTTCCAAGTTGGAGCTATTTTCGGCTCAACGGTATCAGCAACGTGGATTATCTTATAATAATTGCCCTTAATCCCTCGTTTAATGTTGAGTTCTTGAGTGATATTGTTGTAACGAACTAAGCGTGTTTCTTTCTCAGAATTTGTTTATTTTTGCTCACTGTTCCTCGGGGTAGTATTGATATGTTTTTCTTGGCTCTGGAATCCAGTTAGCCGTGAAGTAGGCTGCAGTAGTTCTACTGGTATGGACCGAGGCTTCACTGACATGTTCAGGTTCATATCTTTTAGTGCTGCCCTTGATATTCGGCTAGAGGTACTCGGGGGACCGTTCCGGAATGAAGATGAGAAGCGTAATGATTTGTTTGTTGTTTTACGCCGCACTCAGCAATATTCGAGCTATATGGCGACGGCCTGTAAATAATCAAGTCTGGACCAGACAATCCAGTGATTGACATCATGAGCATCAATCTACGCAATTGGGATACGACGATATGTGTCAACCAAGTCAGCGAGCTTGGTCACCTCTTACGACAAGCATTGGTTGCTAAAAAACAATTCTAACCCGGATCTTCACGGGTCTTATGAGTTATGAATGAGCGCGTCCGTCGCCATTCAATCAACCTGTCAATGCTGTCTTATCATTTTACAAATGAAGAGGCAACAGGTGGCCCAGCAGGATACGTTTTGCCCAATGCTTCATGCCAGATACCTAGATTTCGCGAGCATCAGTACTACTTACAGACTCGCCCCTATGTCACTTTGGATAGTCTGTATAAATCTGGATCCTTTTAAGCACGATCTACCCGGACTACCGTTCTCAGCATTGTTAAACCCAACGCAATCGCTGACGGTTTTCAAGATATTCATTCATAGCTGAAGTACTATAAACACAAAAAGAGTTGGTCATGCGTGTGTATCTGCATGTGCGGCTGCTTGTACTAGCCCAGACGTAAGCTGGTTTTATAGTGCTAGCCCACTGAGATACCATGCCGCAGTGAAGCATGAATACCCCACTCAGACACTTTATACTGACTCCGAGCCGACCAGTCCTTGTTGTACCCATTAATGCCGAGCGCCAGGCAGGGACCAACAAGTACCATATTTTAACGTCTTTTGGTATGACGGGTCGGGATCGAACCCGCGACCTTCCGCTCTCCGGGCGGACGCTCTAACCACTACACCACGGAGGCGGTCCAAACCAGTAAGAATGTTCAGCGAAATAGGCAAAACCCGGACATTTTCAACTCGATGTGTCATTTAAGGCGACGTAATTTTCTCGATGGTCATCGGCTACAGTTTTGTATCAGAACACCGCTTGTCACGAACTACAGACGGGCCGAGACATTTTCGACGTTGACAAACAACCGAACACCCAGACTTCCGATCGTGTAAATACTGGTATTCAACCACGAGGCGGTGGATCAGCTCGTGGGGCAGAGGAACCAGGGTGAATAAACAAGAGTTTAACAGTCGGCCACAGAACGATGTGTGACTGACGGTCGTCCATATTTATACTACTCTAGGTCGTACAGATAATCGTCTTTTCTCATTAAAATAGTCATTAGGTTCTTTGTACGAACTTTACCGACACTTTGCTCCACAGAATTAATTGACCCGTCTAGATCCGGGTTAGAATTGGTCTTCAGTAACCCATGATTGTCGTAAAAGGCGTCTAACGGGGTTGGGTGGTCAGGCTCGCTGACTTGGTTGACACATGTCATCGTATCCTAATTGTGTAGATCGATGCTCATGCTGTTGATCACTGGATTGTCTGGTCCACACCCCATTATTTACATACCGCCGCCATACAGCTGGAATATTGCTGAGTGGAGCGTAAAACTAAACTCACACACTCAATATATATGACGCACTTTGAACGGATGATTGATGATGAATGTGACTGCGGCAGAAGTTTAGGTTGAAGAAGAATTAGTGACCAAATACAAATTACTATCTGACAATCACGGCTGGTATGGACACTGACTGTCCGATTCAGTTTTCCTTTATCAGTGTAACCATAAGCATATTTGAGACACTGGTAAGTGGTTCGTTCGAAATATTCCTTCGATTTACACTATATAAATCAAATAAATAATATAAATTATTACTAAACTCGATGCCTTTTTATCGTATACATTTATACAATCTGTGTAACATTCTGTCCATTCTCCCATGTTAAACCCATTGATTGGGTCATGACGACATACGCGTTTATATTGTCAACACAACTTTTGCAAGGAAAATATTTCATTCATCCCAAACTATCATATCAAACAGACACATTTCAGAGTTAATCGTAAAATACACATAAGCATGTTATCATTCCCAGCCAATCGTACAACAAGCAGCCACGAAAACATGGTACATCTAATCACCCAGTGATAGACGAAAACACAAGGTTTCCGGCAAATTGTTTGAAGCCAGTCTTTGTGCTGATACGAACTCCTAACTGCTACGAGCATCTACAACGTGATGGGGAGTTTTGGCAATGGTTCAA